AGACGGGGTTTCACCATGTTGACCAGGATGGTCTCGATCTCTTGACCTCGTGATCCACCCGCCTCGGCCTCCCAAAGTGCTGGGATTACAGGCTTGAGCCACCGTGCCCGGCCTTAGTTTTTTGTTTTTAAGTTTTTTTTTCCACATCTGTCTTCCCACCAAGCAAGGGGTTCTGGGCCCCCATGAAAATCACCATCAGTTGCAAGGTGCAAACACCATAGTCTGAAGATGATTTTTCTTTTTCTGTTAAAATGGAGCGATGAGTCCTGCGTGTAACTTCCCTCACTCCCTCAAATCCACCAGCCTGCTAGGAGTCGGGCCTCATCCCTGGGTTGCCCTAGGAGCTTACTTGCCCAGGAACATTCCTCCTCCCGAGTATGTGGAAAAAGAGCTGGGAGCCCCTCGCAAGACCTGATGGGGCCTCCATGTGGTACATGAAGCACTTCACTTCCACAATCCCCGTGTGAGCAACTCCAGATGAGGGACAGAGGGTGCAGCTTGCCCTGGGTCACACTGTCACTTGGTGATAGATGGAGTTGGACTCAGGCCTGTCCCCGTCCCACCCAGCCACTGAGGCTGCAATGGTCCCTCCGAGGTTCAGCTCCTACCTTCATAGGTGTTGACAGCCTCCAAGTTCATGGCATGCCGGATCACGTGATACTCGTCAGAAATCCCATTTCCTCCTAGCATGTCTCGGGCCTGGCGGGCGATGTCCAGGGCTTTCCCACAGTTATTCCTCTTCAGTAGAGAGACCATCTCCGGGGTGGCCCTGGGAGAGGCACATACAGGTAACAAACGTTGGGGATCCTAGCTCCCGGTGCCCCAGGCAAACCTAGCCCCAGGTGGGGATTCCCCAGTGAGGGACCCATGGGGCTGTCCCCAGCCCTGCCCACCAAGGACAAGAGGGAGAGCAGAAGGTTCGGGTCTCTGATGCAACCAGGCAGGAAGGACTTTTCTCTCCAGGAAAGACACAAGGTCCTCCACCCACAGCTGCGGGCCCCTGGCCCCTACCACACAGCCCCTACTTGTCCTGGTCCTTCAAGCGGCCAAGCTGCAGGCAGGCGTGAAGGCCCAGGGTGATCTCAGTGAGCATGTCTGCCAGCTTCTTCTGAATCAGCTGGTTCCTGGCCAGCGGGACACCAAACTGAATCCTAGATGGGCAACAGCAAGGTAAGGGCAAGGGGAGGCCCATTCCCCCACTCCATCCCTGTCCTGGGGTCCCCTGCTCCAGGAAGCCTTCCCAGGCTGCCTCGGTGCCCCCAAGCCTACCCTGGCCCTGCCATTGACTCAGCCCATGGCTGCTCAGAAGGATATCACTAGTCATTCCAGAGAAGGAACTCAGGCCTGGTGGGTGGGGGCTGGGGAGTCACCCATGGGGTAGAGAATGAAACCCAAGCTGCCCACACTCCAGGGGATCTCACTGGGACCCCCACACACCTGTCCAGAGCATACTGCCGGGCTGTGTGAAAGCAGAACTCCGAAGCTCCAAGCACGCCCCACGTGATGCCATACCGGGCGTTGTTCAGGCAGCTGAAGGGACCCTGTAGGGTTGAGAGGACGCCTCAGCGCCACCCAAGAGACACCAAGAGGCCCTATGCAGAACCAACTTAAGCAGGGAAAGCTCCCTCCCCAGCCATCCACACAGGCAGACTCAGGTTGCCACTCAAGTCACAGAGGGCCCTGGTACTGAAGCTTGGTGTCTGCTTACTGGGTTTGCACACTGTCCCACCCAGCCTGGGATTGGGGTTCCATGCTCAGAGCTAGGAGGCTAGGCTGATGGATGCCAGAAGATGCACTGTGAGTCAAACGACTGAGCTGGTTCAGGCCCAGGTGTCCCGGGCAGAGCCAGATGAGCAAGTCGGTCACCAAACGGGGGCAGTTTTCAGTACATCAGTGAGTCTGGCTGAGTAAGAATCACCACTGTGTGGGCTCCACAGTGCACAGGGAGCTGGGTCCCCAGCACAGAGTCTGCCTGACAAAGGTGTACCGGCAGGTGATCCACACCCATTCCCAAAGTGGCTGCTACTCACCCCGAGGCTGGACGCACCAGGGAGCATGTTCTCTTCTGGTACCTCCACGCTGTCCATAATGATCATGCCTGTGGCCGAGGCCCGCAGTGAGAACTTGCCCTGGATCTTGGGGGCTGAGAGACCCCGCATCCCCTTCTCCAGCAGGAAGCCACGAATGCAGCCATCTTCACACCGAGCCCACACTACAAACAGGTCAGCCACAGGCGAGTTGGTGATCCTGGGGATGGAACAGTCGGTGAGGGATCTGGCCCTGTGCCCGTCCACCACCTTCCCACTGTCCAGACCCCTTACCAGGTCTTGGTCCCATTGAGGGTGTAGCTCTTGTTGGATGAGTTGTAGCGGGCTCTGGTCTCCATGCTGCTGGGGTCACTTCCGCAGTTG